GCACAAAAAATTTGAAATTGTAAAAACTGAGCTCGCAAGGTTGAAAACGCAGAAAGGGCGGCCTTGGCAAACGTTATAGCGCAAAAGGAGAGTGTTAATACACGAGTGAACCTGAGCCGAACTACGTAAGGCTTGATTCCCATCTTTGGGATACATAGGTGTAGACACCCCATTTTTGACAGCCCATAAGACTTGGGCATTACTGATGGTTTACTTGGTGATAAAAGGTGTGCAGGGCAAAGATCCAGTTTCTTCGGCAAGGAGAGAGACAAGTCTCAAATTCACACCCCGTTTTGGACCAAAGCTATTTTGGATGGTTTTTAGACCTTAAAACCTTCTCTTTCAAAACTTTTTTGAAATAAAGTTTCTACGATGTTCCGAGGCTCGCATTTTGTCAAACGTTGCGCTTTTCGGTAAACCGAGCAGGGACAAAGTGGAAATGAATGAAAGAGAGCTGAAATTTTTGAAAAATCTTTCAAAACACCTTGCTTAGGGGTTTGAAGTTGAAGAAAGGAGGGGAAGAGAGAAGAAACCAAGTTGGAGGAGAAGACAGGCATGAATCCGGGTAGAAGGGAGTCGAGCAGTCCTCGCTGAATCGGTCTTATTAATCTACATACTTGGATTTTAGCTATGGGGCCACCACCGTCGGAAAGCTCACTTCCGGGGCTTCATTTTTCACTCAAGAATCTCTTAAAGCCAAGTTCAAGTGGGGGAGATATGATCAGTGGAACTTGGGCATCATCCCGGTTGGATCGAATCTGCGCGGCTTCACCAAAAAGGGCATAACTTTTTGCACAGGAGGAATTTTAATGCAAGGTTTGCGGCATTGAAAATCTAACTTCCGGGGCTTCAATTTGGATATCCACCGGCCATATTTTGACCTTGGCAGCATCTATCGGCAATCTATTTAGCCGACCGGAAATTTATTGTGCCGACCGGCCATTTATTTTGGCCGACGACCTCCTTTTCTGGCCGGTTTGACCTTTTTGCACCTTCCAGGCATGGTGCATGCCAGCTGTGCCAGCTGAGATGCACAAACCCGTCCCCCCATACACATAGGTGGTTGTTTTGAGCCATTGACCCCTTTTTTTGCACCCTTTGCTCAAGGCTCCTTGAGGAAGCCTTGACCCCTTATCTTGGCTTCCTCAAGAAGCTTGGCCAGCTGTCTTAGCTTCCTCTAGAAGCCTTGATCTCCTTTGCCTCCTTTTCCCCTTTCACTTAGCTTCTTTGAGAAGCTTAAACCATTTCCCTTTGCTTATATAAGGACCCCTCTTCTCCCATTGGCAAGGGTTAGAGATTTTGAACAAAAAACCAGAGATTATACATATATACATCTATCATATACTCTCTCTCTCTCTATATATTTCCCTCTCTCTCATCCTTAGTGTGTGTGTGAAGGCCTAGAAAGTGTGTTTTGGCCTTATTTTTGCACTAAGACACACACCATTACACCTTGCTTCGACCTTGAGGGGCTTTGAGGGTTTGTTTTTGAAGTTTTGGACTGATTTTGGTCAGAAGAAAGTGGCTGGACCAGCTGTTCTTGAAGTGTTCTTCAAGGGTAAGACTTTTGCTTTATTTTCCCAATCTTGCATTAGTTTTTGACCTGCCTTGCATGCTGATTTAAGCTTTGTGTATAACATAAAAGTCTTGTAATTGCATGCTTGAGATCTTTCATTGAGGTCCTTTTGTGGTTTGGGGTCGACCTCCCCCTCTTAGGCCTTGTTTGGCCCTTTTGGTGCTTTCTTTCTTAAGCTTTGGTTACTCTTGAGTCTTGGCCTTCCCACCACTAAAATCCAGTGAATTTTCAGTGGTGAAGAAGGGGTTTTGAGTTCTTGTAAAGGGGAGGGACACTCCTCTCCCTTAGTCTCTCATTTTTGCATATTCCTGGCTTATAAGGGTAGCATGCATGATTAGGTGTTTTTGATCCCATTTCAGGGGGTTTTGTATGTTGTTGGGTCCTAATATGCCCTTATATTTGGTCGGATTAGTGCTCTCTTTCATGCTTAATACATTTGCTTTGTATTCCCTTATTTGGCCTAGAAGTGCATCATGCCATTAGACCGCCATGCTCTCATGTTTTGATCTTGCTTTGTAAAGTTCTTGGCATTATTTTTCACGCTTAAGGTCTGTTGGTTACTGTTTTGGTCATGCTTGACATGTTTGATATAGCCCCTTTGTATTTTGGCTTGTGAGTCTTGGGTGTGTGAGTCACTAGCATGCTTTAGTTGGGTTGTTTCAATGATTTGGAGTCATCCCATGCCTAGCTTTGAGTTTTGAAGCTTCTTGCATGCTTAAATGGTAGTGTTTTCATGTTTTGGGGTCATTTTGGAGTCATTTGGTATGCCATTTCAGATCTGGAACATGCACCATTGTATGTCATATTCCATGCCTTGCCATGCTTTGGTAGAGTGGCATTTGATGCCTTAGGTTCGGTCCTCGATTTGCATGCATGCGTGCACGCATTTCGAGTGTCTTATTTTCATCTAATGGCCACTGTTTTGGACCTAGTAGAGAGCTATCCAAATTACTTTAAGACCATCCCTTTGGAATGTTGTTGCATGCTATACATGTTTGTATGCTTTAGGTACTTGGTCTATCAACATGTTGTATGTTTAAGTGCCATTGCATTTGGCATGCTTCTTGTGTTGAGTTGCTTTGCATATTTACATGTGTTATGCCTTTCATGCTGTTGCATGTGTGTCATTAACATTGATGTTATATGCCTTGCATGTTTACTTGTTTAGTTCATGGCCCATTGCACATGGTTTTGTTGTTTGCATGATCATGTTGCATACTTAGCTCACATGCCTAGGTTGCATCACATTGGCATGCATACTTTGCCTCTTGAATTGAGTATGATAGAGGTTGAGTTCATTGTTTGTTTATGTGCATTTCATTCCACATTGAAATTGCACACTTTGGTTCTTTGGGCCATCACGCATTGAAATGCGCGATTGGTGGTCCGAGAATCAAGTACCGTGCTCCTTCGAGCCATAAACAAGATAAGGAGTGTGGTTGGTGCAAACATTGCTTGAAATGCATTGCCATGCCATGTTTTGCCCTCTGCTGCTGTCAAAACAGATTCTGCAGGAAGATTTGGCTGGCCGGCCATATGAAGTGCTGATCGGCCATCCATCCGTGGCCGATATCTCAATTAGAGGCTGGTGGTCATTCTCCATGGCCGGTGGCAAATCCCCTTAGCCGGTGATGTTACGAAGCATTCAGAGAAGCAACCCTGGGACTTGTGCAGTCTTCAAAGGAGGATAACAGTCAAAGTGGAGGCAACTTGTGCATGGCTGTGACTTTCCGAGCGGAACCACGCATACATTGCATGGGGCCCTCTTCCCAAGGCTGTTTACTGTTTTCCTAGATTAGTTAATTTGCTTAACTAGTTAATGGACTGTAATAATTAGTTAGCTCGTAGTTAATTAATTGTATTATTCTTTTGGTCCCTCCGAGCGAGGGCGAATTTGTAATAAGTGTGGGTGCCTGTGTGCATGTGTTCCAATCCCCACTTCTTTCTCCCTTTTTAGTTACCAGCTTTCGATGGTTAGTGTTAGGGCATAACTAATTTAGCATACCTTATGCTATGCATGCGTGCATCCATACATTTGTCTTGCATGTATCGGGCTTGGCACATCATGCTAACTGCACTAGTATTTCAAATCTAACTTGAATACATGCTACTTGTGCATTTTCACATGTCATTCATAGACTAGCTGACCCTACTCTAGTGACATTCCGTATGCATTGCATTAGGCATTTAAACATGGACTTGGATCATGCATTGATTGCTAATGAGTCCCCTATTTTAGCTTGGAGTACTATGTAAGTATTTATGCTTTAGCATCTCGCATGAGTGTGAATGTTAACATGACAGTATGCTTGCCATGCGACTATATGCTTACATGATATTACTGCTTGAATGCCTGTGGGTGAAGGTTGGATTGTCTGAGTTGGAATAGCTCATTGAAATCCGTGTTTTAGCCTACTTGCGAGTAGCAAATTCCAAAACATTTTTTTCCAAAACAAATCGGATATGCAATGCTTATTCCCAAATTAGGTAATCTAGTCTATACTTGTTTGTTGTGCGCATAACATAGTAATTCTAGGCTAATAACCGGAATAAGAACACATAACGTTTTCAAAAACGGATATCATGGTTAGTAGAGGCCGATCTTCGGATCGGGCGAGAGGGGGTGCTCATAGCTGACCTTCCCCAATCGTACCCAAGTTCCCGGGCCGAGGCAACTTTGGTGATGACGGACACGTGGCCTTTGGCACTGAGTCAGGGTTTCCTAAATTCCCCAAAATAAAATATTTAGGTGGCGACTCTGTATCTGGCAAAACAGTCCATGTTTGGCACTTCTTTTCAAAAATCTGTTTCTCAAAACGATTTGCCGGATTTGGACTCTTTGGTTCAGATTAAGAACCGTGACACAAATCGAGTCCGAACTGTAGTGGGGGTCCCTCGCGGGCGCGTGCTACAGGCGCCTACGACCCAGGAGGAGGAGGAGCAATACGCTCGTGGATTCATCATGTTCTTACTCGGGACCACCCTTTTCGCCAACTGGGCGAGCACTGTTGCCCTTTATCTACTGAGCACACTGGTGAATGTGACCAGGATTCAACGCTACGACTGGGGTGGCGCAGGCTTGGCCCCGCTCTACGGATATATGAGCTCATCCTCCCGCCGCAGCGGACACTTGCTCGGAGGCTATTGGCGAGCTTGGGAGGTACATTTTCCCTTTCTGTTTTTACAGTTTTGCTTTACACTATATGTACACCACACACACTGCGCACATGCAATCTGCTTTACACTGGCTGTACATTGCACACACTGCACAATACACTTCACATGCTGCACAATACACTGCACACCATTCTCTGATTTCTGCTTTATCTGCATTCAACTTTATCTGATAAGCATACTCATATTTTCCCTGTTACACTCTGTAGTTGTGGGTGTATACTTTTCGAGGCTTGCCCCAGTGCCGAATATGGAGATCTCACTCGGCGTTCCATATTCTCATCGCTATGACGTGAGGTGCGAGCGGAGGCGACAGGAGTCCTTCTTGTTTTTCCTCAGATACTTCGACACTATCACAGCCACAGAGGTATTTCAAACTTTACAGTTCATTTAAGCTTTGCCTTACATTATACTTTCAACAGTAGATGACAAACTATATATCCTGTGTAACACGGCCGCGAGGGACCCCGCTACAGGTCGGACTCGATTTGTGCCACGGTTCTAAATTTGAACCAAAGAGTCCAAATCTGGCAAATCGTTTGAGAAAACAGATTTTTTTTGAAAAGTAGTGCCACACATGGACTGCTTTGCCCGATACAGAGTCGCCACCTAAATATTTTAAAAATGGGGAAATTTAGGAAACCCTGACTCGGTGCTAAAGGCCACGTGTCCGTCATCACCGGAGTTGTCTCGGCTCGGGAGCTTGGGTACGATCGGGAAAGGTCAGCTATGAGCACCCCCTTTCGCCCGGTCCGAAGACCGGCCTCTACTAACCATGATATCCGATTTTGAAAACGTTATGTGTTCTTATTCCATTTATTAGCCTAGAATTACTACGTTATGCGCACAGCAAACAAGTATAGACTAGATTGCCTAATTTGGAAACAAGCATTGCATATCCGTTTTGTTTTGAAAAGCGATTTGGAAATTGCTACTCGCAAGTAGGCTAAAATACGGATTTCAGCTAGTTTTTCCAACTCAAACAATCCAACCTCCACCCACAGGCATTTAAACAGTAATAACACATAAGCATTTAGCCGCATGGCAAGCATACTGTCATGGCAACATTCACACGCATGCGAGATGCCAAAGCATAAATAATTACATCGTACTCCGTGCCAAAACAATGAACTAGTTAGCAAACATGCATGTCTTAGTTCATGTTAAGAAATGGCTAATGCATCACATGCAAAAATGTAATCTAAACAGGCTTGGCTAACCTAAACATGGCATGTGAAATGCAATCAATTGATGCACGTATTCAATTTGGAATTGAAATACAAATGCAGTTAGCGTGATGTACCGAGCCTAATGCATGTAACACAAATGCGTGGATGCACGTATGCATAGCATAAGGTATGCTAAATTAAACGTGCCCTACTACTAACCATTAAAGCAGGTAAGTAAAAGGGAAGAAAGAAGTGGGGATTGGGAAAACATACACGCCACTCACACACACTTATTACAGATTTGCCCTCACTCGGAGGGACCGAATAAATATTACAAATTAATTAACTACACAAGCTAATTAATATTACAAATTGCCTAATTAATTAACAAATTAACTTAAGCTAAGAAAACAGCAAATCGCCTCGGGAAATGCGCCGCCATGCATGGGCTGCCTCTGTTTTCTTTCCTTCACTCCTCTGGAGGTTGTCAAAACCTCAGGACTGCTCCCTTGGACAGAGGGGATCACCACCGGCTAGATGGAATTACCACCAGCAATGAAATGTGGCCACCGGCACAAAATGAATCTGTCGGCAGAGAAGGGATTGCCGGTCGGCACCTAACACTGCTGGTCGGCAGAGTGTTCCTGCAGAATCTGCAATTGACAGCAACAGAGGGCAAGGCAAAGCATGGCAGCACAATTCAAGGCATGTATGCACTAGTCATGCCCCCTATCATGTTTGTGACTCAAAGGGGCATGTGTCTTGATTCTCGGACCACCAATCACGCATTTCCATGCATGATGGCCCAAAGAGTCAAGTATGCAACTTTGATTTCAAATGCATGCAAACCAAATCAAACCAAAGTCCTAATCCCTATCACCAAGTCAAGGAACAAGGCATGCATGCAAGATGCAATGCAACCTAGGCATGCAAGCTAAGGATGCAACATGACATGGCAACAAACTTATGCAAGCATACAAGCAAACTTGGGGCCATGCAAATGGATGCAAAGATGGACTTATGTGTGATTTAGGCAGCTCTAATTAAGCCTAAAACAAGGGCCAAAATGCTAAAATGAGGGACCAAACACACATGCACACATACACATAATTGAGGGCCAACACTTAGGCACAAATTGTACAACTCTCAAGCACACTTGAAAGGAGGTAATCGTAGGTAATTAGCATGCAACACAAGCATTGTAAATCATGTTAGGATGATGTCAAACCAAGCAACAAGATAGGCTAAACATTAGCATGCAAATGGTCCAAATACTTAAAGCAAACCAATGGAGCATTGAACTACACTTAGCAAGACCAAACATGGCATGAACTAAATGACTAAAAACAGAAATTTAGCACATAAAATGAAGCCCAAAAGACCACTTAGATGGCATCCAAATGACCTAAAAACAAAGGCATGCAAAATCACCAAAACATGGAGCATGAGATGGCAACCTTACAAGGCATTAAAGGGACATCAAATGCAAACTTACAAGCATGCAATGAGGTTTGAAATGACATGGCGGAGGGTCCCAAATCACCAAATCAATGCAAAAGTGCCATGCTACACATGCACAAACTTAAGGCCAACAAGCCAAAATGCAAAGGGGCTATATGATACATGCCAAATTCGACCCATACAACCTAGGACAGACCTAGAACATGGCAAAATATGCACATAATCTTCACAAGACTAAGCCTAAAACATGCTCTAAACAAAGGCACACAACCTAAGACATGTTAAGGGATCACAAGGCATTACATGGCAACTATGCTAAGCATGCATGGAGTACCAAAACCAATTTAAAATCATGTTATATCATGAAAATATAAGCATGAAAAACAGTCTATACATGCTCAATGCACACTCAAACATAGGCTCCCTTTAGAGGCCAAAACATGCCCTTTTCAAGGACAACAAGGAGAGGGGGTGGCCCTCTCCTTTTGGAGACTTCAAGGCACCATCTCCACCACTGAAATCCCTCAAGATTTCAGTGGTGAAGAGGCCCAAACACCAAAGTCCCGAAACTAGCACAAAATGGCTCAAAATGAGGCCTTTCAAGGCCTAAGAGAGGTCAAGCACCCCCAAACCAAAAAACACTCTTAATAAACAATAAAGAGGGCCTAAAAACAGAACTTTTTTGCATTATATACCAAGCTGAAAAACGAATTTAAGGCAAGTAAAGATAAGGTGCAAAAATGGGGAATAAAGAGACTAGATTCTTACCCTTGATGTCCCCTTCAACAATGGTGCTCCAAAGGCCTTCCTTGGCTTGAATCCAACACCAAAACTTCAAAATCAGTCCCTTAGAACCTCAGTTTCAAGAGGAAGGTGAAACACTAGGTGTTTGTGTGCAATAGTATGGACTAAAACACACACAAGAGTAATATAGAGATAGGATGTGTATGTAACTCAAACCCTAAAACCAGAGCTTAACAATGGCTGTCTAAGCTCTCAAAATATCCTAAGTCTCTAACCTAAGTGTCTCCCTTGCAGCAAGAGAGAAGGCTCTCTCTTCATATGGAACTTCTTGTCTTGTAAAGCTTACAAGACAAGCTTCATAAGAGGGAGATCCCTCCATACACGTGTATGGAGGGGAGCAAAAGCAAGACAGCTGTCTTAAAATATCTGCAAAAGCAGATGCACAGTAATCGGCCGGCCAAAAATGTCATTTTGGCCAAAAAGAGTGCCGACCGGCAGAAAATAGTGCTGACCGGCAACCAATAGTGCCGGCCGGCAATAAACAGTGCCGATGGCAGCAAAAACCAGCCGGTGACCTCTAGCCACTGCCGGTGATGAGTGGGGATGCCTCACAAGACATTCCCTGCCCCTCCAAGGCAAAGCACAGGTGTTTGGTGTGAAACCAGACACTAAACGGTCGAGTTCGGGGATCCTGAGGCAAGGCGCGCGAGCCGAGACCTCCGGGAACTCCAAACAAACACAAACATGGATAATCACCGAGTGTTCCAACGGTGACGTCCAAGTCTTGAGGATGGTCAAAAATGGGGTGTCTATATCCTGTTATTTGCAGATCACTTGGCAGCCCTGGGCTCCGTTGACTGACGCAGTGAGGGAGCAGTATGCAGGTGCTTGGGAGACTGCCCGGTTCAGGATTTTGTTGGAGGGTCCGGTTTGCCGAGTTTCGTACCTAGGTGAGCGCTTCCTGAGCCAGACCCTCGGCTGACCGGAGCAGATAGTTCCAAGTCCACCTCTTACCTATATGAGGCATAGTGAGAGGTACACCTTGGAGGAGATGATGGATTTCACGATAGGCTGGGATTCTGACCCTTTCAGAGGAGAGGGGGACTACACCGAGTTCATCTAGGCTTATCTGATGTGGCCTCTAACCGGTGCTCATCGAGTCAAGAGAGAGAGGCGTGCAGTGCCAGCGGAAGGAACGGGAGCATCGAGGACGGCTCAGGCCCGTAGCAGGAGTGGGCCCCAGAGGGTACAGGGAGTAGAGTGGCTAGCCCTGCCCACTACCATGACATGCCAAGGACAGGGTAGGGAGACTTATCAGATACCCATCGCTCTTCCTCCGGCTGATCATGAGCTTATCGGAGTTCGTGGCTCGACCTCGGTATGTGCTTTATTTTGCATTCTGTACGGTCATTTCATTTCATTTAACATCCCGCAGAATACTAATGATTTCAACACTTTAGCAGGCTTCCATCGAGTACACTAGTCAGTCTTTGGAGCTGACGGCCTCAGTGATGGGGATGCTACAGAGGAGCATCGGCCTGTTTACCATTTACGGCATCCCAGTGAGTTCTTTCAACCTCGGTCTCATGACTCTGCACATTCTGTTCCATACTAATCTGATACATCACATTATCGATACCGCACTTGACACACAGCACTCACGTACCACTCACAGCACTAATACACTTTACTCACATACTGTTCATATCACTGATACACTATACTCATAGCATTCATATACTTCTCACAGCATTGCCCACGACATTCATACATTGTACTCATATACTGTACTCATACACTGTATTCGGTATTCATACTCAACTTTGCATAGCATAACTGATGTGTTTGCCAATTGTTCTTTTCAAGCCCCTTTCTAGATACTGGCCGCAGGGGGTGCTCCAGCAGGACCTTCAATGCCTGCCAGAGCAGTTGGGGGAGCCAGGCGGGAGATGACTATCCATAGCCGAGGCAAACAGAGGCGAGCTCGTGCTGCGAGTAGTTCACGGGAGCCTTCCCCTGATGATGATGAGTCCGATGTGGAGGCAGAGTCCTCCCAGGGTGAGGCCGGAGATGACTCAGACAGCGGAGGTGACGGCGGCGATCCTGGACCTTCGTCCAGGAAGAGGACGAGGATGGACTCCCGTATTTGAGGCGACTGGCACCCATCCAGACATTTTGCTGCTTTTCTTCTTCTTGTTTGCTTTATTTTTCTTTTTACTGGTAGTTTGAGCACATTGTACTGCCTCAAGCAGGTTTTATTTTCTTCAAAACTATGTACTTTTGGAAAAGAAAAATGATTTAATGAAATAGCTTTTTTGTTAAAAAAGTGTTGTATTTGTACATTCTGAGCATCGCATCGCATTACATAACAATGTAAATGAGATTGAACTTTGTTTTGAAAACTAAACACTCTAATTGCAATTAATCAAGTAGTGAACCAACTAATGACAAAACAACTCGATAAGAAAAACAAAGACTTAAAGAATACACAATACAACTCGATAAACAAAAGTACAACAACTCGATAGACAAATTGAAGTAACACAGGTGCGACTTCACAAAATCATTACCGGAAGGCATTTGGAGTGGAACCAGTCACAAGTTCTCGGCATCTCCAACACATAGACAGCTCGTAGAACAAGGGGAGAGGCCATCGGCCAACATTATTAGCCGATCGGCCAAAAAAGATGGTAGGTCAGCACTCTTTTTCGCCGATCGGCCAAAAATGGAAAGCACCTCCAGAATGTTGACATCTGTCTTCCACTCAACACCTTATCCTCTACAAAAGCCTCAGCTTCGTAGTTTTCTCCATTTCAGCTCAGTTTTTGCACCAAATGGAAGCATTTCTTGTCCATAATCTCACAAGTTGGATTACCAATTTGGATGGCTCGGAAAAGCTGAATTTCCGGGCTTCGGCATAAATGCACTATTCACATCGAGTCGCACCCCGTTGCGTTTTCCGTTCCTCCATGCCACGACACGGTTTTGGAATCCGGTGACACACGTCTTTAGCTTTGGCGGACAAGAGATGTGTCCCACTTTTGTGGATTTCCAAGCTGTAATGGAATCCGAGCGTGATGAAGAAATCTTGCCTCAACTCTGGTTCGGCCACGTCTAAGCCTTAGGACGGATGTGCAGCCTTACTATGCATGACACTCGGTCATTGATTCGCGACAGAGAGCTGGACATTCCGAGCTTGATTGGTCGATTTTCTGATACCGGTGATCGCGGCGACCATCATTGGTAGGGTAATCGGCTACATGCGCTTTGTTTATGCATGTTGTCTCATTTCTTGCTTGGCCCAGGCTCCAGTGGGTTTAGCACTCGTTTGATTGAAGTCGCTGAGGGCTTAAAAGAGGGCAAGAGCTACATCGCCATGACGCTAGCTAAGACATTGATGGGATTGGACGCTTTTCATCGCCGGGAGACGACTAGAGTCGCAGGGAGTCCACTATTACTGCAGGTAATGTTTCCCACCCTATCTCATATATTTCTCACATCACTCGGCCCGCAGGCTCGGTTTTTCTCTCAAAACCCTTTTCTTACTCTTCTCTCAACATACACCTCTCTATTCTTTAATCTCTCATTTTTCATCCCTCCCAGGTGTGGTTAATGGATAAATTGAAAGTGGTGGACTCATGCCCGGCATATTCAGCTCGCAGCTATTTCTTCCGACGACGTCTAGTTGATGCCCCTGATGAGAGATGGTGATATAACTAGATGTGCAGTTTGTCCGTGAACCACATTGCTTGGCACTGCCCTTGGCTCAATCTGCCGACGATGAGCTACAGCATGACCCGCCAGCCCGGGATTCAGTTGATTGGCCTGACACCCTGTGTCTTTTACTTTTCGTTCCGAATTCAGTGCCAATTTGGACATGATCAAACTTGTCCGGAGGAGGGGGGGCTAGAGTACCCTGCTACATTCCCGGTCTGAGGCGCACAGCTAGCTCGGTATGCCGCAACATGGAGGACGAGGGAGCTTCTGGCCCCCGCTCTCACTTTCAGTTGCACCCTCTCTGATGAGTGCATAGATTGGCTCAATGAAGAGGCACAGGTAGGGCCCACTTTGGCATTAGAAGCTTCTACTAGCTCGGGGAGGGGACGCAAGAACACCTGACTATGCCCCGAATTTATTTGCTTTTAATCAGAACTTTCAAGTTTTCTTTATGAATGTAATGAAAGCAACTTCAATTTGTATTCAAGAGTAGGAGAACTCTGTATTGAAATCAATGTAATTGAAGGTTATGGGTATTAAAAAAATTTTGTTTGGTCCAAAAATGGTCTAAGTCGTAAAAAGATTAATTTGAGCAAAATTAACTTTTATTAAAACTTTTCAAAACCATTTTCGATATGGATCAGAACTGGACACGCCTGAGATCTATCACTGAGATGTACAACCCTGGATCCCAGCAACTGGAAAGTTGCCCCTAGTCTGAATAGCACTGTACCGGAGATCACAACTGAGCTCCTGAATGCAAAATAGACAAAGATGACCAAACATGATCACATGGACAAAGTTGATCAGGGAAGTGTTTATGGCTAGACTTCAAGATAAAGTTGTCTATGTATCCCAAAGATGGGAATCAAGCCTTACGTAGTTCGGCTCTGGTTCACTCGTGTATTAACTCTCTCCTTTTGCGCTCTAACTTTTGCCAAGGCCGTCCTTTCTGGGTTTTCAACCTTGCAAGCTCAGTTTTTATCATTTCAAATTTTCTGTACTCTAACTTTTGCCTAGGTCGCCCTTTCGGGTTTTCGGCCTAGCAAGCCACTCAGGGAAAGTATTTCTTCAACTTGTCCATGTTGATCGGTTGGGAGAACTCTAGGCCATCTAGGTCCATCAGAACCACAGCTCCACACGACCAGATAGACTTGATGATGTAAGGGCCAGTCCACTTGGGTCTGAACTTGCCCCAAGGGTCGTGGATGGGAGCTCGGCTGGCTTTGAGCACCAAATCTCCTTCTTTCAAATTTTGGGACTTAACCTTCTTGTTAAAAGCCTTGGCAATTCGCCGTTGATAACCCTGAACATGATACAGTGCATTCAGCCTTCTTTCATCAAAGAGCAAGAGTTCTTCGAACCTGCTTTGCTGCCAATCTACCTCAGCTATCTGACACTCATCCAGTACTCGTAATGACGGAACCTCAATTTCAATAGGTAGAACGGCCTCCATCCCATAGACCAAGGAATACGGAGTCGCCCCAATAGAAGTTTGAATTGAGGTCCGGTAGCCCCACAAAGCAAATGGCAGCTTATCTGGCCAGTCCCGGTAGGTTTTCACCATCTTCTGCAAAATTTACTTGATATTCTTATTGGCAGCCTCAACAGCTCTGTTGGTTTGCGGCCGATATGTAGATGACGTGTGAAAAGCCACATTGTATTTTTCCAACAAGTCGATCACTTCCTTCTTGAAGTTGGAACCATTAACTGAAATGATCTCGTTCGGGACCCCGTAGTAACAGATGATGTTGTTCCTGATGAACTTGGCAACATGCGATGCCTTTAACACCGCATAAGATTGGGCCTCAACCCACTTCGTGAAATAGTCTATCGCGACTAGAATGAATTCATGCCCATTGGACCCCTTCGGAGTGACAACCCTGATCACATCAATCCCCTAGACTGAAAATGGCCATGGCGATGTCATGTTGTACAGCTTCAACGGCGGAATGTTCATGCGGTTTGCATGGATTTAACATTTGCGGCATCGTCGAACAAAGCCTATACAATCCTCCTCCATGGTGGACCAGTAATAACCCTGTTTGAGAATTTTCCGGGCAAGCATCACCCCGTTCATGTGCACTCTGCACTCTCCACCATGGATGGCCTCCATCAGGCGCTTCGATTCTTCAGCATCAACACACAGCTTATGCATCTCGAGATGACCTCTCTTGTACAATTTTTCCCCGCTGACGATGAACTGAGCAGCCATTTTTCGAATTGCCATTTTATCTTTGGCATTTGCCCCTGGTGGATACACCTCTTTTCCCAAGAAGTTCTAGACATCGTAATACCAGGGGTTCTCATCTTGTACCTCATCTATGGAAGCAATCAGTTCGTAGGTCGGTGCAAATTTCTGTTCGATGATGATCGGACGCATTCGGACTCCGAAAGGGATGTCCATCATAGAAGATAGAGTTGCTAATGAATCTGCGAACCTGTTGTTCTCTCTTAACAGATGAGCGAAATTCAGTTTCTCGAACCGAGGAATCAGCATGTCCAAGGTCTGGTGGTATATTCTCATCTTTTCTTCTTTAATCTTCCAATCTCCTTTAGCTTGAGATACAACAAGGTTCAAGTCCCCGATGACGTCCAACCGTTTTGCCCCTTGTTCTAGAGCTGCTTCTAGTCCAGCAATACACGCCTCATACTCTGCTTCATTGTTCGATACTTTGAACTAGAGTTTGAATGCTAGAGGTATACGGGAATTGTCGTGTCCTATCAGCAAAACCCCTATCCCATACCTGTATTGGTTTGATGCTCCGTCAAAGTACATCGTCCAAAACTCTTCTTTGACATGCAGAATGGCCTCGTCTGGGAATAAGTACTCAACTGCTTCATCCCCTTTCACTGGGTGATCGGCTAGGAACTCTGCTACCGCTCTCCCCTTCACTAACTTCTGCTTCACATACTTCAAATCGAATTCGGAAAGCAGAAGCAACCAACGAGCTAGCCTACTCGTAAGTGCTGGTTATGGGATCTAATCTTGAAACCAGTATTACAGAGTGAGATAACAGGTAGTGCCGCAGCATCCTGGTAGCCCATACCAAGGCCAAGTAAGCCTTCTCCAGCGGAGTGTAGCGGGTCTCATAATCCAGCATCTTCTTGCTCAGGTAATAGATAGCTCTCTCCACCTTGTCCTCAGACTCCTGTACAAGCATGCAGCCTATTGTAGTTTTAGTCACTGAAAGGTACAAAATCAACGGTTTCCCCCGGCTCAGGCAGTGACAACATGGGTGGGTTCTGTAAATATTGCTTGATCTGTTCAAAAGCAGCTTGGCATCGACCATCCCATTGGAACTTCTTTCCTTTCTCCAGGAGACCAAACAGTGGTTCACAAGTCAAGGTTAATTTTGCAATAAACCGTCTTATGAATTGCACTTTACCCAAAAAGCCTTGCACCTCTTTTTCAGTCCTTGGCGGTGACATT